CCTTAGTAACCCTCATGCGGTGGCCCTCAGCTCACCGACCCAGCCTGTCCAGATCCTTCTGCAGGGCCTTCCTGCCCTTGAGCAGATCAGCACTCCCACCCAACTTGGTGTCATGTGCAGACTTGCTGAGTTTTTGATCCCCTCATCCAGATCATCAATAAAGATATTGAACAAGACCGTCCCCAAAACTGAGCCCTGGGGAACATTGCTTGTAATGGGCTGCCAACTGGATTTAGCTCTGTTCACAACAACTCTTTGGGCTTAGCCGTCCAGCCAGTTCTTTACCCAGCGAAGCGTACACCTGTCTAAGCCACGAGCCACCAGTTTCTCCAGGAGAATGCTGTGGGAGACGCTGTCAAAGGCTTTACTAAAGTCCAGGTAGACAACATCCACAGCCTTTCCCTCCTCCACTAGGTGGGTCAGCTGGTCATAGAAGGAGATCAGGTTGGTCAAGCAGGACCTGTCTTTCATGCACCTGTGCTGGCTGGGCCTGATCCCTTGGTTGTCCTTCATATGCCCTGTGAGCGCCCTTCAAGAAGAATCTCTTGATCATCTTCCCTAGTACAGAGGTCAGGCTGACAGGCCTGTAGTTCCCTGGATCCTCCTTTCACCCCTTCTTGCAGATGGACGTCACCTTGGCAAGCCTCCAGTTGTCTGGGACCTCCCCTGTTAAGCTGAACTGCTGATAAATGATGGATAGTGGCTTGGCAAGCTCCTCCGCCAGCTCTCTCAGTATTCTTGGTGGATCCCATCAGGCCCCGTAGACCAGGGGTTTCCAGGTGGCATAGCAGGTCCTTAACTGTTTCTTCCTGGATTATGAGGAGTTTATTGTGCTCTCCATCCCCATCTTCCAGCTCAGGGGGCTGAATACCCTGCGGATACCTGGACTGGCTATTAAAGACTGAGGCAAAGAAGGCATTAAGTACTTCAGCCTTTTCCTCATCCTTGGTGATAATGTTCCCCTCGCCATCCAATAACGGATGGCGATTCTCCTTGGCTCTCTTTTTGTTGTTACTATGTTTGTAAAAACAGTTGTTCCTTATGACCGTGGTCAGATTGAGTTCTAGCTCAGCTTTCGCCTTTCTAATTTTCTCTTTGCATGACCTCTAACGAGATCCTTGTAGAAATTGAGAGAAGTGCAGTGTCAGTTGTCTCCTCATTCATATGTATTTTTTGAAGTGAGAAATTAATAAAGATTTCTATGCAACTTTTTCAGGATGGCTTTGGACTGGGCTAAGCGCTTTGGACAGACAGAGGTTGTTGACCTGCTTGAATCTTACAGGTAAGCTATACCTACTTTGTAGAAACAGTTGTATAAAACTGTGAACGGGAATTTATGTTTTGTCTTTTAATCAGAACAGTTTTTAGCTTTTTATGCTTTAAAATCTGGCCTAAATAGCAAAATTTATTTGTAGAATAGGAATATTTTGAAAATACAGTTATTTGACAGAGAAAGTTTGTTTCTATTCAGTATCATAGTGATTGTATTTGCAGAACTCCAAGGATGAGTATAGTTCTAGTGGTGTAGGAGTTCTTTTTTATTATTAATGTTTATCATCTTGATATGAACATTCCTATGATGCTTATATATCTAGGCAGGATGTGATTACAGTAACTTAAATAAATATGCAGAGGAGGTGCTGATTCTAGACCATGCACCATTTTAATTTCAGATGCTTATTTTGGAAACAAATCTATTGTGTGTTTAAATTTGTATATTATTGATGCTTGATAACCGTATTAAAGAAACTTTATATGAGTAACACGTACACTTGGCCATTCAATAATTATTTTTTGATTAACTTAACAGTTACTGTAGTTTAGTTGCAGTGTTGTAGAGACTGTATTATAATTTCTCTTAGTGTAGTTTCTGTTAGTGTAGTACCTGCTTAACTGTTACGGTAAGAAAGCTTTAGGAAAATACATTCCTTTTAAATATTTTTCCTGTAACAGATAAACAAATGGTGTCTTTATACTTTGAATTCTGTCACGTTAGGTTATGGTTGTGTTTCAGTGAAGTATAATAAAATTAAAGTTAAAGCTAAAAGTTGAAGTTGCGTGCTTTGCTGCGTTAAGACTTAAATCAATAAACAGTAATAGTGGAGATGCTGTTCTACTACACTTCAAAGTTAAAATTGGAGATCAGTAGTCTTGTTGGTCTTGATCTAAATTTGAATTGATGGCTGAATGCAAACCTGAAGCAAACAACCTTGACTCTGGCCTGTGTATTTGCATATTTTAGTGCTTCGGTGGAATTTGAAAATCTTGATGAAAGTTCCCTGGTCCAAACAGGCGGTAGTGACCTTAGTGCAGAGGACAGAGAACTACTGAAAGCTTATCATCACAGTTTCAATGATGAAAAAGTGGATCTGGACCTGATTATGCATTTACTTTATCACATCTGTCATAGTTGCGATGCGGGTAGGTATATACACACATGCTCCCCATAAATTGCTGTGGGTTCAGCTTCTGATGAATTGTGCTCTTTTTTCAGTAATAGCGAATAGGTAAAACCTTTCATGTACTAGTACACAATACTGACGTATATCTGAAGTTAATTTTCTGTTTAACTTTGCAAACCAACTTCTTTTTTAGGAGCGATTTTAATATTTCTTCCTGGATATGATGAGATAGTTAGCCTGAGGGACCGTATTCTTTTTGATGACAAGAGATTTGCTGATAATGCTCACAGGTAAAACCTCTAGTTTCTATGATTGTCTTGAGTTTTTATTGTTTCTTTTAAAGATCCTTAAAATGTACTCTCTGTTTTGCATTAGATACCAAGTTTTCATGCTTCATTCAAATATGCAGACTTTGGATCAGAAGAAGGTGCTTAAAAGTCCTCCCTCTGGCGTCCGCAAAATAGCAAGTATCGGAGGACTTTGTCGTATATTATATTGATCTATTTTGTCTTTTCTTTTACAGTTACTATAGTTTTGGGTTTTTTTAATTGCAGATTCTGTCTACTAATATTGCAGAAACCAGTGTAACTGTCAATGATGTTGTATTTGTCATTGACTCAGGCAAGATGAAAGAGGTATGACTGGCTTAAACTTTCTTTGGGAAGTAAACTTCCTAGTGTTATTTTAAAATACATAATACATAAACTTTAGAGAACTATTTTTTTTATGGTAGGCTGAGAAGTAGTGCACGTCAAGCAACAAAAGTCAGAAGTTTCAACATCCATTTGTTCTATGACAAATTCTGTAAATAGCTAGCTGTTTAAAAACCCTGTAAAAGGTATTGCAGGTTGATATATTGATATATCTTTTTTTTTCCTAAACTTAATATTTCTGTTTGATTTTTTTTTTTTTGGTTTTGTTTTTAAACAAGGCCCTCAGTTTAGACTGCCATCTTCCTGACACTTAGAGAATACTGGGAGTTCCTTTTGCCCTGCTGTTATATCTAGCCCAAGTCTAAACCATTAAGTTTTTAAGCATTGTTTTTGATGTGTTGAATGCCCATTCCTTAATTACTTGTTCACGAAAAGTGAAATAACATAATGAGGCAGTTTAAGACATAGTATATGGCTTGGAAAATAAAACTGGATTTCGTAGGAAATACGCACACCAAATTTCTGAAGTTATCATGGTAATACCATTTTTTTGGTAATTTTGCATCAAATGTAGGAAAATAGGACATAATTTCCATGTGAGACAAAGAGGAAAATCTTATTCAATATAATAATGTATTTTTGTTTGGTTTATGATACCACAAAACACAATCCATGTCCTTTATTTACTTACAGTTACCTATTGACTGGAAAACTTTAATTTAGAAAGCTGTGTAGCGCAAAAATAGTGAAGGAGGTAGCATAAATTCACTTGAAACTAAGTATTTTAGAACACACCTTTGTGCCAGAAGTTGCTTGTACTTCTTCATATTTTTTTAGAGAACTTCTGTTGATGATCTAAATAATTTGTAATTTTTATTTCATGTACCCTGTTCAATCTTGGTTTTATGTTCTTTGTTTTGCTTTTATAGAAGTCTTTTGATGCACTGAGTTGTGTTACGATGCTAAAAATGGTGTGGATTTCAAAGGCCAGTGCTATCCAGAGAAAAGGCAGGTAATAAATGCTTCATACTGAATTTTATTTTGCAGCTATCCACCGTCCCGTATGTTAAGGATAAAGTACACAATGTAATAACAGCCTCACTGGGTAACGTTACTAGCATAGTCCAGTGTCATTTTGGACAATGGCCAATGCTAATTCTCTGCAAAAGAGTAAGAGTCAGCATGTATTTCCTTGGGTCATTTCCCAAGCTGCAGAAAAGTGATACTGAGTATCAGTAGGAAGGAAAGGAAAAAGCTTACATTACATCTAGGTTGTTTTCCCCCCCATGAACTTTTTCTTCCTCTTTCTCCCATGTAGCACCAGCAACCAGAGTGTCAAATAAGGTGTTTCACCACTTACCTGTGGGAGAAGGGCTGCGTATTGCTAGTTTTTAATTGATGCTCCTTCTTCCCTATATTAGAAGAGTAATTGGGCAGTGATTCCTTATTCACCTTCTCCAAACTATTCCTAACTTAACAGGCCTCTACCATGTTCTGTCCAGCACTGGGTGAGGGCTAAGAGGATATGTAGCAACAAATACCTATGTTTGGTGATATGATATTGGCATTAACCTGCAGAAATTTGAGCATGAATGTGAGCATTTGCTGACTCTGTCCCCTCACTCACAAGTTGTTTGGTCTTCATTCTACTTTTTACTACCAGAATAACTTCCAACTGTTTGGGGGTTGTGAAGAGCAAGAAGTGAAGTTTATGACTTACATTCCTTACAGCAAAGGACAGTAGAGATTTGGATTGAGCTTAGGTTATCAAAAACCCCACATCACTTTATTTTTACATAGGCCTTATTTTTGTTTCTCCAGATCTTTCAATGGTGGGGTAAAATTACAATAACAAATTTCCATGCTATCAAAACTCATCGATGTACTGGAAAACTCACACCTCATGTGTGGGACTTACATTTAATGACAAAATTATCTTTTTCTTAGACCTGCTTCTACATTTCCATTCCAAATTTGTGTGTATGTTTTATTTTTATTTTATTTTGTTTTATTTTTAAATAAGTTCTAATTTTCAACAACTTCCCATATTTTATTTTCAAGGGCCGGGCGCTGTCAGCCTGGAGTCTGTTTTCGTCTCTTCAGCAGGCTCCGATTTCAGAATATGTTGGAATTTCAGACTCCAGAACTTCTCAGAATGCCACTTCAGGTGCACTTCAATTAGAAGTTATAACTTTTAAAAAACATGTTGTCATCAATCCATACTATTAACTCCAAAAAAGTGTATGTTTGGGGTTTTTTTCCCAATCTTAAGTGTCGTCTTTTTCGCTTTTTAATTGCAGGAGCTTTGTTTACACACAAAACTTCTGGCTCCAATTAATTGTCCAATTGTTGACTTCCTTATGAAAGCTCCTGATCCTCCACCAGCTTTAATTGTGAGAAATGCTGTGCAAATGCTTAAGGTCAGCAGAGGAATAGATTTAGATGGGAATTGTATTTGATTCTATATTCTATGTGTGGCAACATATCTTACTGAGTTTTGTTTGTGCTGAGACTGTTGTTTAGTTACTTAAGGATGCTTTGAATTTTTATGCATTGTCTGTTTTCATTTTGTGTGTGTGGATGTATTTATGTGAAGGGAAGGGAGTGCGTAAAAGTCTCATCTCAAACTGTTAGGAGTTTGACTTCCTTTTTTAGTGTTTGGGAACAAGACTAGTTAATGTCCAGTATTTATATCCCTTCTGCTTTTATTGTAAATTAATTTTGTCCACTCCCCCTGCTCCTTTTTTTTTTTTTTCTTTTTTTTTTTTCCCCCCCAAACAGACAATAGATGCCATGGACCCTTGGGAAGATCTCACTGAACTTGGTTATCATCTCACTGAATTACCAGTAGAGCCACACCTTGGTAAAATGGTGTTGTGTGCTGTTGTTTTGAAGTGCCTGGATCCTATTCTTACTATTGCTTGCACTCTTGCATATCGAGACCCTTTTGTTCTACCTACACTGGCCTCTCAAAAGCGCGCAGCCATGCTGTGTAGAAAACGTTTTACTGCAGGAACATTTAGTGACCATATGGCGCTTCTCAGGGCTTTCCAGGTATTATTTCATCTTCAGAAAGAGTACTAATCACAATAGATCACATATCAAAGTAAATTATGTGCCGATCAAGTTGTATGTAGAATGATAGACTATGATTAAGGCCTTAGAGGAGAAAATTTATTTTTGCTTAGGGGCTTTCCTGTATATTAGACTCATAAATTTATGAGGGAGAACTTTTTCTCAGATTTTTTGTTTATAATTTGAAACCTGGTTAAATTCTGAATGTTCCAACAAAGTGCCACTTTATATCCTGCTACACTGATAACTTAATATAATGATCTTTAGAATAACTTAATATAATGATTTTATAATAACATAATGACCGATATGTTAACTTAGGGAATGGTTAAAGAGAATCTGGTACTTAATAAGGAAAAAAAATCTGATTTGATACATTTCCTTTTTTTCAGAAGGATACTATATACTTCATTTTACTGATGTAAATGTAATTTTTTTTAAAAAGTGCATTTTTTTTACTTTAGCTAATCAAATCAATAGGCAAATATAAAAAAATATTCTTTACAGGCGTGGCAGAAGGCACGCAGTGATGGCTGGGAGAGAGCCTTCTGTGAAAAGAATTTCCTGTCTCAAGCCACGATGGAAATCGTCATAGGAATGAGAACACAGTTACTCGGCCAGCTTAGAGCCTCAGGTAAATAGCTTGGAAAAAATTTTAACATTGTTTTGGGGCCAAATGTATAACTAGTACAAGTGTATACAAATTGTAACAAGAATAGTGTTCACTGGTGTAATTTTCCTTCCTTAATTTGAAACAGACCATTATATATTCATGCTGGGCATGGTGCAGATGCTAGAGTGAGGAAGTGTGGCTGGGGAACAGCGATCTAACTGAAAGTGTCCTGATTGTTCCACATGCCACTGGCTTTCAGTGTGAGATATGTTTTCTTGGATTTTTGCATTCTAATAAATTATTTCCATAGGAAATGTCATTGTGTTATAAAAAATAATTCTATTCTACGTTAGTATAAAATGCCTTTTCAGGAAAGATTTCAGTATAATGGTTTCTTCTTGGTGCTGTACGAATTTGCAACACATTTGTAGTTTATTTCACTTCTTTTTCCCCCCACATTCCTTTTGAGAAAAGGTAGATCTTAAATACAAGCAAATGTAACACCTTTTTGTCCTCTTCTTCAGGTTTTGTTAGAGCCAGGGGAGGAGCTGATATTAGAGAAGTTAATACCAACTCTGAAAACTGGGCTGTGGTTAAAGCTGCCTTAGTGGCTGGGATGTATCCCAATCTAGTGCACGTAGACAGAGAAAGCCTGACTTTGACCGGGCCAAAGGAGAAGAAAGTGCGATTTCATCCTACATCTGCTCTTAGTCAACCTCAGTATAAAAAGGTAAAAACACTGAATCCATAGTTTACAGAAAAGAGCACTATACTCTGTCAAACTTTTTAGAAATATCTCTTCATCGTTGTCAGTACTTCAAAAGCATCATGTGCATTAAACACTACGTTTTTAGAAAATATTTTTCCTGGCAGTTCATAAAATAAAGAATTGGAGTGGTTTATTTTTCCAATATTATTTCATCAAAACTTATTTGAGGTAGTCTGTCTTCTAGATGGAAAAAACCAACATGGTAAAAAACCCACTAGTTATGAAGCTGTTTTGAAGATGTAACAATCCTGCCTCATAATAGCAGGAAGATGTTCTACTTTGAAACTAATTTTTTTTAGATCCTCTCTTAAAGCAAAATATTTTATTTCAAGGTAGAAGGGTAATTTGTGAGTCTGGTTGAATTTGTTCTTGCGTTTTTATTTGTGTGTATAAGTTTATGTGTATATAAATATTTATAT